GTACAACAGTTAGAGAAAGAAGATAGATTCTTGTGTCTTTCATTTGATGAAATGGAAATTAGCTGTGAAGAATCATATGATAAAACCGAGGTAAACGATATGGAAAGATTACTCTTTTGGTAATGTTAATAAACTAGAAATAAACTTTATTAGTGTTGCTACGTAGTGTAAAGAATAATTGGAAACAAGTAATTGGTGCTCATATTACAGATGGGTCCCCTGCTCCTGAATTAACTAAACAGTTTATTTTGATTGATAGAGTTTTGTAAACATGCTGGTTTGAAAGTTGTTTCATTATCTTCTGATATGGGAAATGAAAACAGATCACTATAGAAAGATTTAGGTGTAAAAATTCAAAAACTGGTATTAGACAGAATTTTTACTTATGATGATAATAATATATTTATTATGCCAGACGTATGCTATGATTATTAAAAGTACTGCAAAGGAACCCAATAAAATTACCAAAGAATACTGTGAAGCAGAAGGTCTACCTACAGAATATGTTCACTGTAAGTTTGTGGCGGACTTGTGGAATATTGAACAGAAAGGATTCAAATAGGGATGAAGAACTTCGCTTACTGCATCACTTAAAAGAGAAGTCATATATCCAAATAATTTTCAAAAATGCATGTTGGGGCAGCAGTACAATGTTTCTCTCTGAAAACTGCAGCTGCAGTGGAAACTGCTGTCAACTGTGAATTGTTACCTAAAGATGCATTAACCACTGCTCATTTATTAGATTAATCGATGAGTGGTTTCATTAACATCTAGTAAATTACGGAAAACATCAATAACCAAAAGAAACAAGGAAAATATGATTTCTGAAATTGATCGGAATAGTTGAACAGACTGAGTTTGATTAAATGATGGAAACCTTGAATGTTGGTCTCATTATGTCTTCATTATCAATTATTGAAACAAGTGAGTTATTATTTGTAATGGATTTGATTTTATTGTGTCATCGTTTCACTCAAGATGCGGTTGAAAATATTTTCTCAAATGCGTCGTAAGGCAGGGCAAACTCCAAACGCAATTCAATCCCTCAGAGCACTCAAAATTATACTAATGTCACAGTATGTTTCTGATGTAAAACGAAGCAATACATTGAATGACAATGATGAATTTTATTAAATTATTTTAAAAAAGTTCCTGAAAACTTCATAGTACTTCTATCGATATACTACAGCCAACTATTAATGCTAAACCAATAGAACCAATAGATTATATAGACAATATTTCAGATGCATTAAAAACTCTCCCTGAATATGATATGAATATTGTATATCATTTAGCTGGCAGTACTACAAATGCAATATTAAAAGTATCATGTGATAAATGTTGTACGTTCATGTGTAACACCACAGACACTGAACATTTTCCTGAAAGTATACACAAAATCATTAGACAAAGGAGGATTAAAGAACCTTTGTTCTACTGTACTTTTAATGTTTAATTGTGAATTGGTCTATAGAAATACAAAATCACTTTTTACATAATTCAAATTCTAATATTATAGATGAAATGAGTAATAACATAAAGATTAATTATCCACTTTGTGAAAAAAATTGCAATGTCAAACATAAGCTATAAAACATTATTTTACTATTAGATCTTATGCAACTTGTAATTTATCCATTTGTAGAAAAATATATATATGGAACAGCATCCGAAAAGAAGAAAGCAAATTAAATTAAAACTAAGCCAATTTATTGTTTTTATTTTATAGATTCCTAGGTAATCATTATATTGGTCTGTTAAATAAATCAGGACTTATCTACAACTAAATACAGTCTTTACTTTATTATTTTAATTATTTATTATGAGCCGTAGATTGTGGTGTCCTTAGGAAGTGCTGATCTAGTTTGTTCACCCAATTCACATTCATAGATGAAGATCACTTAGATTTGAAATAGTTTAGTAAAAGATCCATATTATTTTTCTAAGACTCAGCTTTATTTCTAATTTTAAATTAGTTATTTTGCTCAGCTTTTGGTTGAAACTATTGCAGTCATGATTTTTCCTATAAAATTAAACATACATTATGTCGCATAGAAACTAGATAAAGCATATGAGGTTATTATTTGATTATTAATGTAATTTGTAATTTGAATACCTAATTTGTCATAACCTTTTATGATCATTACTCAATATTTGCATGGATGATAAATTTTCATTAGCGCACTGTTTTATTTTCTGTAATCTGCATTGATCATCAGATGTACACACAAATAAGCGCCATAATATATACAATGCAGGTTGTTGTATAAATGAGTTAGGTACTTTTAACTTTATGTTCTAAGTCAATTATTATAAAAATATTTATAATCAATGGTAAACAGCGTTATATAGAAAACAACCATCCCACAAATGTTCTGTTTGGAGATATAATTCAAGTTATAGAAAATATATTTTTAATTGGTTAAGTAATAACTAAACTATAAGTAATACCATTAACTACTAATAACTAATAAGCTATAATAACTCGAATAACGAATACAATTAAACAATTATACATAATATTTAATGATACTCATAATATCAAGATATGATAATAGGATTCTTACAAATCTTTTGCACACAAAATGGCGGATGCACATACCTGCTTCTATAGTGCTCTAGTATTGGTTGACCGAGTGGTTGAGAAATGACATTTTACCGCCAAAAATTATTGTCACTGACCAATCATTAGCATTGATGATGGCTGCAGTCAAAACATTCACTCAGTATTCCAACCTTAATAAATACATAAGCATTTGTTCTTCATTGATTCAAAAAGAAATAAATATAGAAGTTCCTAATTGTATGATAAGAAATGATTTTAACCATGTAATGCATTTATTAAGTTCGTGGACAGAATATAAATTAGTTTCACGTCGGGTGAAAAATTTTTATTTAAGAGCAATTGGTTTAATAATAGTGAACACTGACTTTGAAGATATAAAAATATTATTAAAGTTAATATTTACAGTAAGTTTAAATGAAACAGAAGGTTTAGATAATAATGGTCAATTGACAGTGTGAAATGGCTAAAACATGCCTAAAACACCGTATAGCAACACACACTACCGATGTTGAAGACATTATTGAAGAAATAAAAAATAAAGAAGACGACAATGATTTGATGTACACAAACATTCATGAGAAAATAACTAGTACAACAATATTTCAACAAATATTAAATATTTATGAGAATTGCATTACGAATAGTAATCAACAAAGTAATTGTGGTGATCATGATAATTTACAATTTAGTCCAGGAATCGCGAAAAAATTATTAGACTATTGTAAACTTCTTTCCTGTTGGTCTGCTGTGATGGTCCCAATATTCAACTTTGGAAATCCAACTGAGTCAAGTGCGACGTCTGAAAGCTTATTTAATGACCTAAAATCGAATGTATTAAAACATAAAATATTGCCATTACGTATTGATGAGTTCATCGCTATCCACATAAACTCAATAATTGGTTCAATAAATCTAATTGGCACGAACATGTATTCTGAGAAAAAGGAAATTGAGGATGTTAAAATAAATACTAACGATTTATCAACATTAAAAATATTTGAAGAAACCGAGAGCATTCACGAGGATGAGAAAATTGATAGTTCCCAAACTGAGTTTGAAAATTGGAAGGGCTTAGGACTAGACAAGTATGAACAAAAAAAAAAAAAGTAATTATTTGGACATAGATCCAAACATTTTATATTATAATGAAAACTCTAAAACAAAAAGTCAAATTATAGGATTATTAAAAAATGGAAATTCATCTCAATTAAAATCAATTACTATTGAAAAAAATTGTTATTTGTTTACAAACACTTGTGCTTTTGATAGTTTAACACAAGTAATGATGATCGCATTTGCCGATAGTATTGTTTATGCTGATTTTATAAGTAAAAATAAAATGTATGTATTTTTTGAAATGATATCAAATATGTTAAGAGATGGCATTAACGTACAAACATATCGAAAAAGAGGTATATTGTGTAGAAATATTATGCCCAATATCAATCCAGTTTTTGATGTGCCAGGAAACCTTATACAAATCAACTGTGCGTGCACAATTCAATTTATAATTGAAAAGTTATTTACAAATTTTCCATCTATCAAAGAGAACACTATGCTCTGAGTGCACCTTCGAACTTAATAGGAAACGACCAATTATTATAACTGCTAATTTACCAACCGAAACTTTGGAATTTCTTTTAGATAGTATAAATGCTATTATTTCAAATCCTTCAAGTACAATTAATAATATATTATGTCGATCTTGTTCCAAAGGACAATTGATAAAAAATTACGAATTAGGAGAAAACATTTTCATCGAACCAGTGATAAACACTGGTAATATTAAACCTGATTATACCAATTTGAATTTATCAGTTGTATTAAATGATATTCCAAAAAGGATCAATATACAGAGCAAAACTTTTAATATCAAAGGAATAATAGAGTTTATACCACCAGCGACAAAAAAAATAAATTCAATTGGACATTACATTGCATACACTTACAGACACCATACAGATAATTGGGAAAAAAATGATGATTTGGGAAATTCAATACGGAGTGTACGTCAAAATACTCGAGCAAATCATTGTCAAATATTAATTTATACCGTTTAAAGGTAAACTAATTCGTAAATTAATGAAATTTAAAGAAGTGTATTTGGTTTTTATACTAATTTTTAAATCGCAAATTAAACTTTAGTTTAATTTTTTTTTGTAAGCTTTTTATTCATTGTATATACACAGATATAATTTTGTTTGTTACTTATAAACTTATTATTTTTAACTCTTTGAGGCACGAGATTTTAATAAATGAAAAAACCCGTCTTGCACACAAACTTAGATTTTTATTTTTTTCAAAATTTTTTTACAAAAAAACACTGTTTATTATTTATCATTTAATGTTCTAAAATTAAAAAATAAAAAAATAAACTTTTTCACTAATAAAAAATAGGTGGGTTAAAAATCGTCCCACTGTGCAGGATAGCCATTTATTCTTTTTTCGCTGTAATAAATCAAAAAAAAAAAATATATTAAAATTCAAAAATTGATTATATTAAATCTAAAATACCAAACACTAAAAAAAACTTACATTTTAACATGAGTGGTAAATATTGAAGCAATTTCTGGACTTTGAAATACAAAGTGGTACATCACATATGGTACATTTCCAGTCTGTTCGAACTTCCTTTTCTTTAGTGCTACAATGAGCGCATCTTCTCCTGGTCGTCCGGTCTGGCTGATGTGCTGATTGATCCTTGCGAACAGATGGCGATACAGATGCTCTTTTTACGAGAAGAGGCGATGGTGATCCGGAACTTTTCTGTCGGCGTTTTTGAACAAAAGTTTTTGAAACGAGGCTTTTTGATACTTCACGTCGAAAATTTTTTAATGTTATTTGTTCTCCTGTTATTTTTTTATATATAATATGAGAATTCACAATAGCTGCATCAAAAAAAAGAAAAATATTCGATGCCACCACTTTCGACTTTTTCTATCTATATGATACATTTTTTTATACTGATCAAATTTATCGACGCAGTTCATGTTATTGTTATAGTCCTTAAGTACACTGGGACAAGGAATCATTGATGTAGTTCCATCTTTAGATTTTCTTTTGACTTCAACGACATCAGTAGGATTATGAAAGTTGGACAGCAAAGTAACTCCTCGTTTGTCTTTCCATTTGACAATTGAAATATCATACTTGTCGCTCATGTTCCAGTCAATGTCACCCATGGTCATGTTTTTATCTGATTCTAACTTTGGCAAGTATTTTCTAGTACTTTTAACAGTTCCACAGCAAAAAATACCTTTTGATTTTAAATATGCCAAAAGTGGTACACTTGTAAAAAAATTATCAATGTATACGTTGTGGTTTTTATGTTGTAATGGATTTGTTAAATCTTTGACTACTCGTCCTCCAAGATTTGTTTCGACGGAGTCACCTCTTTTACCAGTGTATAAATCGAAATTCCAAAGATAACCATGTTTATCGGCTAACGACCATACCTTGTACCCTCTTTTAATTGGTTTGTTCGGCATGTATTGCTTTAAAGTTGATCGCCCTTTGAATTTAATCATGGATTCATCAACTGCAATAATTTTGTGTGGGTGGTAATATTTTTGAAAATTTTCTCGAATTTTTTTTAAAAAAGGTTGAACTTTGTATAATTTATCATAACCTGTTTCGCCCCGTTTTGTCATAACCGAGTTGTCATTTAAGTGTAAAGATGATAATAGCCAACCAAAACGATTTACAGTCATAAGAGAACTTATATAATCGTCATGTAAGTCCAAAGCTGTAGACCAGTAATCTCTATAGCTTGGATTACGTTTTATGCCCATTAAAATATTCATACCAAGGAAAGTCATTATTTCATTTGTATCTGTAGGAATATAATTTTTTCCAGTTTTCATTTTTAATTGGTATGCATACAAATTTGTTTGATACACAATTAATTCTACTATATCATTTGAAAATAATAGTTGAAAAATTGAATATGGAGTGTGTTCAGCTTCAATATCAATAATATTAGCTGGACCATCAACACACGTAAATTCGGGTAAAGGATTTTGTGAAAAAACATAATTTTTTGACCACATCGGAGCAGTAAATTCAAAATTATTATTTTCGTTACTATTTATCAATGTATTTTCAGGTGGACCAATTGCAACTATATTTTTTTCTACTTCAATAGTTTTTGTTGATTCCTGATTGATTGGTGGAAATAAAGGGCGCCGAATATTACTATTAGTATCGTTATTTTTTAAATGTGATTGTCTTTGCGAATTGCGCGTTTTTATAGGACTAGGTAATAGTAAAATGTTACCTTCATCTAAATTTAAAATCTCTACCAGTTCATCGTCATTTTGATCCATCAAATCATCAGAAAAATTGTTGTCCTCCACTACTTCAACATCTTTATTAGGTAAGTAAGTTTCATCGGCATCAGAATCATCGTAAGACGTAAAACTATCACTATCGGATGGTAAATCTTCGAACAAACACTCAACAATATTATTTTCGTTCATATGCGCGCTCATCGTTAACAAATGGACCGTACGGCACAGCGGGTTAAAATTTAAACACTGAAATATTATTTCGTCAAGGCTAAAATAATGTCATTAAACGGAATCTAACCGGCTTATATGAATTCTAATATGTTTTTATATAATATATAAACCAGCAAGAATACAATTGTGGTATAAAAATAAAATTATTTTCTTGTGAAGTTCGTAACCACATTTCCTCGCTATACGAATGACATGGGATTTCTAAATTGGTTATTAAATAGGTTTAAATAAACATAATCAATTAATTCTTGAAGCTATTGATAGACAATAATGTAAAATATCTAATAATAGTAACGGATAAACGTGGTTTATTAAAAGAAATAAGATATCTATACTAATATTGGTGGGTTATTTTTCGTCCCACTATGCCACAAATGTATTTATTTTGTGGGTTATAATTCGTCCCGCTATGCCTCAAAGAGTTAATTATAATACGAAATTTAATACTATGTTTTATTTACAAAATAATATTTTAAAATTTTAACTTACAACGATTAAATGTTAGTTTTAGATTCCGGTTAGATAACTTATCAGTAGATACAATACAAATTTTAAAATTAATAAGTTATACCTAAACTTTATGTTTTTATCATTTGTTAGAAAAAATAAATATTTTTAATTTATATGTTAGATATATATATATATTATTTGTTATGTTATTTTGCAACAAAAAATTTAAAATTTTTGTTTTTCAATGGGTTATAAATTGTTTAGTTATATTTTTGCGTCAAATATAATTCTATAAGTGTATTATACGTTTACAGTTGTTTTCTTTTTTTTTGTAACAGTATTCATTTCAGGAATATTCCTTTAAAAATTATAATTTATATTATAAAAGTTTTCATGGCATAAGCTACAAAAAGAATAAAAATGTAGCAAATAATAATACTTTTTTCTATACCTATTTTAAAAGCAATGTGAAACCAAAGCTTAAATGTTTTTAACTACATGAGGTACAACCAAAATAAAAAATTAAAATAGTTATGGTAAAAATTACAATAACTGTTTATTAAAAGATGCCTCAAATCTGGGTTTAAGAAAAAATGTTCATCAACAAGCTATTTTATTTAGTCAGATATGCATATTAAATTAAACATCAATAATAGAAACTATATGTGTGTTGAAGCAAGTTATAAAGAGTTAATTATTAATGTCGTAAATATATAACAGTTAAGAGACCTTCTATTCAAAGCTATATATCAATAGAGTTAAGAAAAACATTTTTCGAATTTATGAAAACCAAAAAGTAACTAGGATCAAGATAAATGTAGCGATAAGTGCGTTGGTAGAGTGGTGAAAGAGTCATATTTTGCCCGATTTTTTTATACCAACGCTTAAAGGGGGGGGGGGGTGCTTGAGTCGTGCCAAATTTAAAACTTTTACAACTTTTTACAGCTTTTGGTACAAACGACGATTTTTGCGGTACAAACCGGTACTAACAGAGTACAAACGATGGGTCCGGGATTTTTTACGAAATCTCAAAGTGGGGGTGCTGACATGTCTCTAGCACCCCCAACTTAAAGCGTCTGTAACTTTGTACAGCTTTCGGTACAAACGACGATTTTTGCGGTACAAACGATGGGTCCAGGATTTTTTACAAAAGCTCAAAGTGGGGATGCCGGGGATATGGACCTCTGTAAACCATGCACTAAACTATTTTTCCGGGCTATACGGTTTAGGATAACGGACTATTTGCTGCCAGAAATTGAAGTCCGTAATCTAAATGACGTTTGATAGCAATGCACCGAACGAAGTACACCGA